TTTTCTAAGCAAAAATCTCGTGTTCGTCATGTGACCCGGACCTGTCCGTGCATGTCAATGTCAATCATCATCAAGATAACACGTGATCAGCATGTGAACACCTTCACCCTCATTGGATCACAGTTAGTTGTCATGGTGTTGAGGGCCCAATGACCACTGGGTACTATTGCGCAATTTTTCTATTTTGTGGCGGAGAAAAAAAAAAAAAAGACGACAAAAAAACAAAGGCATTTTATGACTGGGCTATCACAGGTATCCCAGTAATTAACTTCATTAATTTCATTGATACAACAAATGATCCGTATCAAATTTGTTTACACAGATAAGCACCACTATTTTACCCATGTGATGTATCTTACCAACGCAGTCTCAATTTCCTTATTCCAGGATTTACCAGAAGGCGCAGCTTTCTCAGCAGTAATTCAAGAAACGAAAGATAAGTTGCCAGCTTGCAAACTTCGAGTGTCTCAGAAGTCAGCCGCTGATCAAATTTGGGAAGATTATGGCAATGGAAAGCTGAGGGCAATTTTGAAAGAAAAATTGCTTCATGGAATAGGTGCTGATAACAATCATCTTAAAATGAGTATTCATATCATGGCGGAGGAATATGAATGGGCGTGTAAAACTTTGGCAGGTAGAATCTTTTTTCCATTTCTTTGGTCATTTCAATGTGATTTTTGAAACTTCTGCTTGCTTTCTGGAACTTGAAGAAGGTGTCATATATTAAGTTGATAACACTTGGACACGACAGTAATCTCAGAATTCAATGAAGTTGTTAGCAGTGGTATGAAATACTGTCTGTAAACTATCGAGACGCGAGATCAAGCAAAGCGCATTGCTCCAGCAGAGTTTCTTTATCGCGCCAAAGAGAGGCGTTTAAATTTGCATTATGTGATCACTCGTTCAAGTTGGTCAAATTTCTTTTTTTCAGGTAGTAATTCAACTGAGCTTTCAGACGAAACGCAAAAAATGAAAAAAGTACGCATTCCTCCAGGTATGGTGATACTCCTGTATTCTAATCTCTGATTGTTTTTGTTTTTTTTTTCGCCTGAATATGTTAATCTAATGTTAAGTTTCTGATTACCCTTCACATTCAACGTTTCCTTTTGTTTTCATCTCACGACTCAAAGATAAAATTTTCTCAGTTTGACATTTCCCTTACAGTTTTTCTCGACAAAAGCGCAAGTCGGAAACTTGAACTCCGTTCATACCAACAAGAGCTTTCAATCCCTGCGTTGAAAGGGAACAACTGCATCATTTGCGCGCCAACAAACAGTGGAAAGACTTACGTAGCACTTGCAATAGCTATAGCACACTTGGCAGAGCTGAGAGCCAAAGCCGCAGAGAACAAGTGTAGGACACCGGCATCTACTTCTATACCTCGTAAAAAGGTTTTGTTCATTGTGAACAAAGTTAATCTGGTTCTACAACAGAGGCAGCGATTTGACTACTACTTGTCCAACAGGTAACAAGTCTTCATGCTGTGTAATAATTTTTGTTACGTTACGTTTGAACTAGGAAGGAGTGGGGAGCAATATGTCATTAGATAGAAAGGCAGGCAGTCTGTCAATCAGTCATTGAGTCAGTCAGTCTGTTAGTCAGTCAGACAGACAGGCAGACAGATTGTCCGTCACTGAGTGTGCAAGTGTTTAGAATTTCAATGCATTCCAACCTATAACTAGTTCCTCAATCTATTGCTTGGTGGAAAGACTTTAAAGATTAAATTACCTACAACGCAAACGATATAAAAGCTTAGGTCCCTTTCCCTTGGCATTTCTCTCTTGACGAGGAACCATCACAAGATTATTCCCTTGCAATAACTTAGGACATATTCTCGTGGTTAGTTGATAGTATTTGTCATAGACAGGTTGATTTTGAGAGTAAATTTTAAAAGTCACACATGTTATTCATTTTGCTAGAGTTGACGGCCATGATGTCACAGACATATCAGGAGCTAATGCTCAGGACAAACAACTTGACGAAATCACTGAAGAAAATGATGTCATAGTTCTTACCGCCCAGATCCTGGTTGATGCTCTTAAATCCAGAAGAGTCAGTATCACCGATTACTCTTTACTCATATTTGACGAGTGTCATCACACAGATAAGGGCCATCCGTACAACGACATCATGCTCAAATACCTGGGGATCAAGTATGGTTCTCGAGGTGGTCAGGAACTGACTCAAGAGAGACAAAACCTTCCACAGATCATTGGGCTGACGGCTTCCTTAGGTGTTGGAAAAGCAAAGAGCAGGATTGAGGCCCAAGATCACATTCTCCAGTTGTGTTCAAACCTTGACTGCTCCGCAATTGTTACTGTAGAGAAACACAAGAAAGATCTCCAAGGTTTGTCCACCGTAATGGACGAAAAGTTACTAATATAATGAAAGAGTTATCATCAGTGTAAGGCCATAACACCATGCAGTACTTGAAGAGAATCAAATGATGTCCGAACTCTTTTACCTGAGCGGTAGAAAATGGGTCTTCTATTGACTTGATGAGGGATAATACAAGACATGCATAAGGGTTTCAATCGTGATATGTTATGATACCATTCAAATAACAGCACCGATACGCACGCCTTAGTTTACCTAATTGATGTCTTTTACGGGGTTTAGTATTTTATCTCCCCAAAATCCACAGTGTTAGTCACCAGTTTCGAATAATTTTTAAATACCTATGTGTCTCCACCGAAATCTATGACGGCATACTACTCGCCTCCACAGCTTAGTCACGTCGAAAATCTTGAGGCGAGGTTGATCTGCTACTTAGTTTTGTTGTGACATGGTAACCATAGTGTTTGATTCTAAAAACGATTGACAAGGGATTCTTCCTTTAGCTTCAGAGTCATCATAGTAAATAGCCTCTTAGTCACGTTTTATCTGTATCACGAATACTGCGATTCTAATTGCTTGACTGTATATTCTGTTCCAGGATTTACCGGGAGGTGCATACGTACTTGCCACGAAATAGCGAATGGTGAAACGGATTACTTCGATGAAATCATGAACGCGGTTATGGTAAACATTGAACAAATGTTGCCAAGGTTATCTCGACGAAATGGTACTCCTAACGACAGGGGAGGGCAGCAGTATCAGCAATGGCTAAAGGAACTAGATCGAGACTCTGTCACCCACAAAAGCCGTGAACAGTGTACTTTGGTTCAACACTTACAGGTGTATAATACTGCTCTGGCTATCAAGAAATGCTGCCGTGTCAAAGATGCACTGAAATACGTTACGGAATTTCATGACAGACAAAGGGAAGACAAATTTAAAGATATTGATCGAAATTTAAGGGCTTTGTACCAAAAGGTAAGATTCTATTGCTTCACCTGTAGCTACGGTTCATTTTCATGGCAAACAACTTGCACTTTTGTGAAAATCGCAAAGAAAGCTACTGCTGTTTCATTAAGAACCTTTAGTTGGCTTGGACTACACGTTACTTTACTCTCCCTTCAGCTTGCTTGGAAACGCTGCTTTGTATGAATATTTCTTCTTTTTAATCTAACATCAAAAGAATTGTAATGATCACCTAAACTTCATAACAGCTAAATCTTTTTTCTAGTAAGAAGCTGTTCCCCACTTTCCTAACCAAACAATTTCTTTAATTGTTCTTACGAGTATTGGTATTGCTTGTTACGGGTGTGTCGTATCGAAACTGGTGCGATTGAATTATTGCCTACCCATGGTACAATTTCGGATCAACTCGTTTATAAAATTAAGTTATGATGTCCTTGAAAAGGTGAATTTGACAAATGTTTCCAAATTCCTGTTTAGGCCAGAGAGGATCTCGACCTCAAGATAAAAGAGAAAGGAGAACTTAGAAACCCAAAACTTGAGGCTGTTGCCTCATTATTGAAACAAAAGTACCAAGCATGCGTGGAGGAAGGAGGTCAACAAACAGCCAAAGGAATGCTCTTCACTAAAACCCGTGAAAGTACCAAAGCACTGAAGGCCTGGCTTGATGAGAACCCCGATCTAAGATTTATTAGGGCTGAACGCCTTGTTGGTACTGGGAAAGGAGAGGGTCCGTAACTCTTCCCATACATTTATCTTTTATTTATCAGTTTTCGGTAAATTAACCAAGCGGACATTGTATTAATAACCCTCGATCGAGGAATGTACCTAAACAATTATGCTTAACATCTATTCGAGAATGAGATAATTATGACACATGCACTATACGAGACCTGTACGAGATTTGAACCCATAACCTCTACGATACTAGAGCAGTGCTCTACCAACTGAGTTAACAAGCTAAATGGGAGGCCTTTCAGGTCTTATGTTCACAACTGCTTAAGTAGTGTTCATCACTGCGAACATCGCTTTCATATTCAATTTTTTTAAATCGCAGTTCTTTTATATGATTTGCATATATTCACAGTCATTGATTCATGACTTCACGGATTTATTACAAACCAGCACAATGACTTACTCCCAGTTGGCTTGTCAGCTCAGTTGGTAGAGCACTGCATTGGTATTGCAGAGGTCATGGGTTCAAATCTCGCACAGACCTGAATTTTTTCGGGCCCCATTTTCACTACTGCTTTGTGAGTTTTCAGTACTGCGAAGATCGCTTTCATATTAGTTCTTAAACTGCAGTTCACATGTACGATTTTCATATATTCACAGTCATTAATGATTTTCCACGAGCAAAATAATATAAGGTAAATGAAACCAAATATGAAGTGAAACCACTCATTGGCTCATTGGATGAACAGTTTTCCTTGATGTTTGCAGAATCATTACAACTTAGGAACCAGTTAAGGGATTGGTTTAGGGATGGTTAGACAGGTCTAACAGACAATAGAATTCTCCTTTAAAATGGACCAGTCTGAGCACCTAGTTCTGACTGTGGTAAGCACCCCATGAAAAAATAACTATCTTAGATTACTTACATTGAGGTCAGTGGAAATAAAACTTTATTTATACAAATTGTTTCTTTCCCGTACAGATGGAATGACCCAGTGTCAACAGGAGGAAGTCATCGCAAATTTTCGCAGCGGCCGGGTAAACCTTTTAGTATCTACTACAGTCGGTGAGGAGGGAATCGATATACCTGACTGCAAATTCGTCATACGTTATGACGTCAGAGGTAACGAAATAGCAAGTGTTCAGTCCCGTGGGCGCGTGCGTGACAGAGAAGGACAATATGAAGTAGTGGCAGGAAAAGAAACTGGTGTTATCGAGAAGGAAAATCTAAATGTGATCAGAGAGGAGATGATGGAGGATGCAATTAGGGAGGTCAAGGCAATGAATGTTGACGAATACAAGGAAAAGGTACATCCCTTCTAAAATATCAATGAAAAACGGTCTTAACATCTGTAAATGTTGCTTAATTGAAAGGAGCTGTCTCTTGTAAAAGGAAGTCAGGATGAAACAAATAGGTAATGAAAAATATTCATAAATTAGGGAAGAAAAGAAACCTGATTTTGTTATTGGCGTGCATGGTCCGTGTCTCGCTCGTCACATTTCTTACGATATTTCTCCAAGAGAAGAATCGTAATCGTTCGATAACTCGGATCTTTGTAGGTAAGTGTGATGCTTTACTAAGAAAGTCGTAAAAAACGTCTCCCCTTTGAAGTTTACTGCTGGATTAGGAAAGATATTCTTCTGCCCTTCAAAGATTTTAGATCTTCAAAGGAGAACCATCAGCCAACGACAAAGAAAAGAAACGATCAAGAAATATGAGAAAAGCAAGAGGCATCAAGAAAAAGTAAAATTATTTTGCCGGAAGTGTCAAGTGTTTGCTTGCAGTGGAATTAGTATCCGGTGTATAAAGGAAGCCCACCATGTGGTTATTGACCAAGACTTTCCTTCGAAGTTTTATTTTAAGAAATCCAAGTCTCCCCGGAGGATCAATGACATTGAACTGACAGGTTGGTAAACTTTGTATCTGAGAAGCTGTTCTGTCCTTTTCCTTTTCAAAGGAATTAATCCTTTTCCTTTTCAAAGGAAAAGGACAGACCATTTGTATTCATAGATAGAAGGAACAAACAAGGTAAAAAAAGTGGGATCCTCAGGCCGAGACCCCTTGAATGATAACTCTATCGCTGATAAATTGAGGTAAATTGAGACTGATTTATCAGAATTTAAAGCTTTACAATTCCAACGTTTGAATTCAGTTTGAGTATGACTGACACCTTATCTCGACTCCTGTCCTAATTCATCATCCAAAATCTCCACTGAGCCCAAGTAAATATTTATTCTCCACTGAACAATAAGGGACCTCAGTAAAGAAAGGCTTTGAGGCTGTCAGGGTGATATTTCTACCATTTTCTAGCCAATGTAACATACTTGTGATACAGCCCTGCTGGAGAGCCATACATGATAATACGCTTAAAGAGCAGCACCTGCATCTTCCAGTATAAAGTATGCTCCAGTCATACCTTTCTAACGAACCTATGGTTTCCTTAGGGCCTTTGCACTGCCAAGACTGTGATGCAGAGTGGGGTGTGATGCTCAAGTATAAAAGTAAAGAATTACCTTGTATCAAAGCATCCTGCTTTGGATTTGAATTTGAGGAAGAAGATGGTGGTACGAAAACGTTCTCCTTTAGAAAGTGGAAAGACGTCCTCTTCAATGTAAAGGGCTTCGATCCCAGTGAAACACAGACTGAATTTGTTAGTTTAGATATTCCAGAACTCAGTTTAGATTAGAAAGGTTTTTTTCTGAAAACCAAAAACTTAATGAGTAAGCGACTGCTTTCACTGTTATTTTTATCGTTTTTACTTTGTGCTTTCCAAATTGGGAACCAATTAAGACCATCTTTTACATTTGGAATGGCACTTTATCATTTTCTGGAAGACGACCAAGCTGAGGTCACTCAGATAGACAGAGGTATTCATTCTCTATAATTTTCAAATTCTCAATGATCTTGAAGCCGTAAGCTGAGGCTGTAGACTTTTTGTGTCAGTTACTTTGAATTTGAGCAAAACCCTAATGTTAAACAGGAGTCCTCTTAATGCACGTGACTGCACTGGAGAATATATAATTTTTAAACTTTGCTCTGCTACCAGCTAATTTGGCCTTTAAAAAAGTAGTGGCCGAAAAAATAATGTAGGCCGGAAAAAAGAGGTCCTCTGCCCTGCATTTTCTTAATATCAAATGTATACTTACACTCTCTATAGAGCTTTGAATTTCCGTGATTGAAAAAGGCTAACGTCAGTCGGATATTTTTATCCTATACGGACAGTTTCTCGTTGTTATGCTGCATGGAAAATTTATCACCATTCTGGTGACCTGGTATAGAGAAGAAAGAAGAGAAAGCTAAAATTGAAGCCCTTTATAGCGGTATCAAGAGTAAAAATAGACCTGGAAAACAACTCGTCCACTTTTCTCAAGGAAAATACTTTTCATCAAAAAGCAAAAATGTACTCCAAAAGCAAAATTAAAGAATAAGTGGGTAGTGACGGAGTTCTCATGACAGGTATTTTTGTACCATACTATTGCTGGCCATCGGTTTATTACACAAGAGAATGATGTTGTACACATCAATTGTTCTCTTTTTGAGTAAATAATTTTAACCAGATTGCTGAATCTTTGCTGCTTCCCAAACAAACACCAATTATTGGCCCAGTTCGTTCACACCTTCGATCCACAACACTGCCCGAGGCCTGATGGCTACCAGTAAACGAGCAGTCTCTGAGATCTCTGAGATAGCTGAGATCCTGCATTAGACTCGGATTTGTGACGACCTTTGCGTACAAGCTTGCAAGGTTTACGAAAGGCTCTTCTATAACAGCGATTAAGGAAAGTGTAAATAACTGGATTCAGACATGAGCTTGTGTACTCCATCCACTTGATAACGTTAAACAGCGAGCTTGGTACTGGACATGACTGATCGTAAGCAAAGCAAAGAATGATGGCGAAAAATGGTCCCCCACAAATGACAAACAAACCAATCAAAAGAGCGATTTTCTTGGCGACTTTCACATCTCTTGCATAGCTCCTGACTCTTCTTAAAAGGAGGACTTGTTTTCGCGCAACAAGGTAAATCTTTACATACATGACGATCATTATAAACAAGGGCAAGAAGAAGCTAGAAAGGGCGATGAAAAGCATATAGCTTGACTAAGTAGGCCAACTCGCTAACCGCAGTCCTGAGACTAGTAAGGAGTATAGCCAAACAAAAACAATCATGCCGATTGCTTGCACGGAAGTCATAACATTTTGGTAGGAAAAGGGATCTCAAATAGCTGCATATCGGTCGATTGAAACAGCTGTAAGGTTCATAAATGAAGCGCTCTCGCACAAAATATCCATACAGTTCCATAAAATTCTCGACTCCTGACTAAATAACCATTGATTTGCAGTGACCTGCGGAGCACACCAGAAAGGCATAGCTACCAAAGTAACCAAGATGTCCGCTGCACTGAGACTTATGACGAAATAGTGGCACACATTTCTGAGTTCCTTAAACAAGTAAAAGTTTATGCACAAGAGAGAATTCTCAATTAACGCGCTGATTATTAGAAGACTTCCCAAGATAGCAGCCAAAATATTTCCATAACTGGGCTGCACGGCTGCATCTGATTGGTTGCTAGGGTAAACAGACTCGTTCATTTCCCACCTCTGATTTTACACCTGCAAAATATATCATTTTTGTCATAGTGTCGTTTCCGGTGATGAAAACGATTCTAGTTACTGCATGAAATGCCGAATTGATTCAGCGATCGTGCACTACAGAAAGACCGTTCGCAAGCTATAGGGAAACATAGCCGATTTAAACGATATGAATTCCCATTTATCGGTTTGTTCACCTCACACAATGGGATGTACAGAACCTTGGCCTTACACAGCTGACTCGTTTCTTTTTGAATATAGTGACGGCAACTTGTATATTTAGTTAACGTGTTGTTACTTTTCTACTAAACACTGCTGTAGCTGCGTGTCAGGATGAACTTTCCGCCATCTTAAGCTTGGAAAGGAGAATCTATCAAATAATCAAACCAGCTTAAACGGTTGAACTGAACAAAATGCACAAACTGAATTACCTGGCTAATATGTTCAGACTAGCAGAAAAAAGTTGAAATAAACGATATGCACTAACTAACTGAATTGATCAATTAGTTAAAATGGTCAAACTAGCGAAAACGGTTAGACTGAAGAAGCTGATTAGGTTCAACTGGTTAAAAGGTCAAACTACGTAAACCAAATGAACTGCACAAAATGCGCAGACTAGCTGAACTGGTTAAACTGGTTAAGACAACCAATCTAGCTGAAACGGTTATACTGAGTAAAATGCACAAACTTACCGAATTGGTTAAACTGGGTCAAATGGTAAAACTAGCCGAAATTATGGTGGCTCATAGATATGGCGGCCCTTAGGGGACACCCTATCCACTTTTCAAATTCAATTTTATCGCGCAATGAACTCAAAATATCACGTGATTAATTGAAATTATCGCGCGATAAATGAAAAATTATCGCGCGATGACTAATATATTATCTCGCGATAAATGATAAATTATCGCGCGATTAATGGGAAACTTACTACGTCCTACGTGATCGGTTGTCATGCACATTGTTTCTGTGGGCGAGACGACAGTTTCGTAATTTTTTTTTAAATTTGAATTAAAAAAAATGGATAGCGTGTACCCTATGGGCCACCGTTTAAAACAGTGAAGCTGGACAAAATTCTTAAATTGGTTCAATTAGTTAAAATGGTCACTTCAATTAAAACAGTCAAACCGGAAAAAAAAAATGCACAGACTAATTGAATTAGTTTAACTTGTTGAAATGGTCAAACTAACTAAAATGGTTAACCTGCAGAAAAAGCAAAATCTACCTCATTGGTTTAACTCGTTAAACGGGCCAAACTAGCTAAAAAGGGGTAAACTGCATAAAATGCTCAAACTAGCTGAGTTGGTTTAATTTATTAAAATCAAACTAAATTAACCAAGTTTACTGGATTATTCAACTGGTTTAAATGGTGAAACTAGCTAAAACGGTTAAACTAAACAAAATGCAGAAACGACCTGACTTGGTTCAACTTCTTCAAACGGTCACACTAGCGAAAATGAAAAAACTGAACAAACGGTTAGAGTGAACGAAATGCACGAAGTGGCTGAATTGATTCGAGTTGTTAAAATAATAAAACTAATTTAAACGGCCAGACGGAACAAAATACACAAAGAAGCTGGTCAGTAGTCAACTTAGCTAAAGCATTGAACTGGACAAAATGCATACACTAGTTGAATGAGGAGAAGTAGTTAAAACGTTCAAAGTAGTTAAAGCGGTGAAAATAAACGAAATGCACAAACTAAGTAAAATAGTGAACTACTTAATATGGTAAAACTGGTATTATGCTTCAACTAGACAAAATGTATAAAGTAGGTGAATTGCTTCAACTAGTTTAAAACTTATTAAGCTGATTAAAATGTTTAAACTAGCTAAAGCAGTTAAACTGAAAAAATGGACAAACTTACTTATTTGAGTAAAGTGTTAAAAACGTTCAAACAAGTTAAATCAAGTAAACTTCATTAAATCCTCAAACTAGTTGAATTGGTTAAAACGGTGAAACTACCCACTGAGCTTAACTGGACAAAATCCATAAACTAGCTGAATAGCTTTAATTTGTTAAAATAGTCAAACTCGCTAAAACAATAAAAATGAACTAAATGAATAAACTAGCTTAATTAGTTCAACTGATCAAAATGGTTAAAATAGCTAAAAAAGGGAAAACTGCATAAAACGTACGAGCTAGCGGAATTGGTTCAACTAGTTAAGATGGACAAAGTAGCTGTAAAGGCTACATTGGAAACAAATGCACAAACTTACTGAATTACTAGTTCGTGTAGTGTGATCGTCCGGGTGTGTGTAGTTCTGAAAAGAACTGTT